GACTGTACGTAACTGATGGCAGTATCACTTTTGTGTAGAAATCTTCTAATTACTTCTGAGGGAGGAAACGCATGCGTTGGAGTAGACTTAACTTGGATGCGAAGGACTTCGCTACATTTGTAGCATGATCTGACCAGGTCAACTTGTTATCAACTTGCACTCCGAGGAGTCTTTCTGAGGTTGTCCACTTTATGATGTTGTTGGATAGGGCCAGTAAATGTTGATTTGTGCTGCATGATCATTGTTTACATTTTTCTGGGTGTGGTACCGTCGAATTTCTGTCGCACCATTCCTGGAGTTCAGCTAAAACATTGTTTACTGAGTTTGTTAGCAAATCCATCGTTTCTGCGATACAGTATATTGTTGTGTCATCTGCATACAGATAAGTTTCCACAGAGCGTAGTGATTTTGGGAGGTCGTTTGTGAAGAGGGAGAATAACGTGGGTCCGAGGACCGACCCTTGAGGCACTCCATTGAGCTATAATGTGTGTATCGGAGTCGGATCCGTTGATTCTGACGAATTGTCTTCGTTCTGTAAGGTAGTTCTTTAACCACAGCCAGATATCTCCTCTGATTCCAAGGTCGTTCAGCTTTTGTGGCAATATATTGTGCGACACTGTGTCGAAAGCTTTAGTGAAATCCACCAACAGTATTCCCACAAAAAGCTTTCTTTCTACTGCTTCTCTCCACCTCTCAGTTAGGTGTATTAATAGCTGTTCTGTTGACTTTTCCTTCCTATACGCCCATTGTCTGTTATCAAGTAAATTTTGCATAACCACGTGATTAGTGATATTACTTGCGACGCAGGATTCCATTAATTTACTTGTTATACTAAGCATAGACAGTGGTCTGTAACATGTTCTGTCTTCCTCTCGTCCTTTTTTGAACGCTGCACTGACTCTAGCTATTTTCCACTGGTCTGGTGGCTTGCAGCCTTCAACACTCTGTTTAAACATGCTCGTGAGAGATGGGGCAATAGACATACCTGCATACTTTCAAAGGCGCGCAGATACACCACCTGGCCCTGTGGCTTTCTTCACTTTTAACTTACAGATCTTTTCCTCGATTTGCTTCTGACTGATCCTGATGCCGGTCATAATCAGCATATGCACATTCTCACGGCTATGAGCGCGTAATGTCTGAATTTCATCCGCGGGGCCAATCAATTTTTTTTGGTGCAAAAATAATCGTTTAACATAGTTGCCTTTTCAGTGTCATCTGTTGTAAGGGTCCCATCGTCCCTCTTTAATTGGTGGGCTTGTCTGTTTACTTTTGTTGTTCCTGATGTCTTTTTCAGTAGTCTCCAGTAAGCAGCAGCGGATTTTACTTCATCGAATAGATTGGAGTAGTAATCGGCTTTGGCTTTTTTCGTCATTGTTTATACTGTATTTCTAAGTCTTTTATAGTTTTCCCATAGCAGTGGATCATTTTAGCTGACACGCCCTTTTCAGGGTCTTGTATCTTTGATTCATGGTTATTCTGATTTCCTTTGTTATCCAAGGCAGGCTGTTTACTGCGTACTTTAATTTGTTTAAGTGGTGCGTGTTCGTTGCATAATTCTGTAAAGAGCAGGTTCCATTCGTAATAAACATCAGTGGGATCACCAAAAACTTCGCAGACTTGAAAAGGCGCACGGGCAATGTCACTTTGAAAGTTCCTTTCGTTGAATTTGTTGAAGTTTCTTATGGTAATTATTTTAGGCTGGTCTCTCGGGATACTGGCTGATAAGTTTGCATAAATCATGTCGTGATCTGACATACCCAGGGGACATGTGCTCTTTTGTTTGACCAGATCTTTTCTGTTCGTGACAATGAGGTCAATCAACGTTTTAGAATGGTTAGTAATTCTTGTTGGTCCTTTTACCACGTTCTTCACGTTAAACTGTTCGAGTATCCCTTTCATCTTGTTTCCTTCGTACGATGTGTCGCCACGTTCGTCCTGTAAAAGATTGGTATTTAAGTCTTCAAGAAGTACTATATTTGAGAATTTTGTCCAGATATTTTCCATTAATTTTGGAAATGCTGTGAAGAATTCACTGTTTTGGTTTGGTGGCCGGCATATAGTTCCTACCAGGATGTCCCTTGACTCAGCCTTTACTTGCATACATATCCCCTCCACTTGTTCATCTTCCAAGTCCGGTCGGTGGATTGCTTTCAGCAACTTGCGATAATATATCACACAGTCCCCGCCTTGTTTGCCTGGTCTGTCTCTTCGGATGAGATTGTAATCTTCAATGTCTATTTCTCCGTCGATGATTTCACTGTGTAAGTGCGTTTCTGTAGACTCCAATATTTTTCATTGTATTTAAATAGAATAGAATAGAATAGAATAGTATCTATTTTTTCAAAAATTATACTTATATAATGTCTATTTCTTCCATTTTCTGTATTTATTCAGGTTGTCATTATGTAATCATGTAGCCTGGCCTGCCTCGATTAAACTGCAGGCCATTACCAATATATTTTTGTAATTTATTTACGAAATTGAATAAAGGTTGAAGTTGAAAGTTATGGCCCTGTTGACTCCTTCTCGACCAAGCTTCTACAAACACCACAAACCTTTGAGCGTATTTCTCTGACAAAAATGTTCATCCAGCTGTGTAATTTTGGGTTCATAACAATCCTGGCTGGACCATGGGTTGTGGCTCTATTGCTGGCCTTTACAAGACTGATATTTCCGTCATCTTGTTTTATGCTCTGTTGAATTCTTCCAAAGGCATATTTGCAATGACACTGGCCCTGTTGGTATTGTTGATTGATATCTCAACCATAAAAAAAACTCTGATGAGACTTAACTGAGGTTGGGTAATCTATATTGAAAATGCACCTAGTAACTGACCCAAGAGGCATATGGCAGCTTCACTTCACTTCACTTCTCTCAATTCTGCAATTTGTTCAGGAGAGATTAAGTAATGGAGGTCCTCTTCCGTCTTGTCCCAGTGTTGTTTATCACACCTTTCGCGTAATGATGGAGACCATCCTACGACTTTCTCCCTTAAAAAAAGACAACTTTCTCTTTACAAATGTAAAGGTCTTGGTTGCTGTCAAACACTCTCAGAATCTTTGCAACGTACACACTTAACGCATTTTGGTCATGGGAGAGTTCCCTTAGTGTCCTTCTTTATCAGCAGTTGGCTCTAGAAAGAAAAAGGATTATTCATTTAGCGAGTGTGGTGTGTGTTATGTTATTACTTTTTTTAAAGCGCAAGTTAGACAAAAAAGTAAAAGAAACCAAATCAACATATTCTAATCAGCACTTACAGATGTCAAGAGCTTCCACAGAAGTTCTCTGCAGAGAAATAGGGAAACAGTTTTTGAAGGGCACCAATATGGCGTTAAATCCCCGCCAAAGTTGGACTTCTTTTTTAATTCCTGCGCAACATTTTTCCTTGCCGTCCGCTTTTCTACATCACAATTTCACAAAGCAACATTGTAGTTTCATGATACTATACCACTATATTCCCATTTGTCAGGATGACCGGTTACCTTTCCATGGTATGAACTTGGAAATTGGGAACCTATCGAAGACAAGACATGTAAGGAAGTTAAGGGGGCCAATACAAGTAAGGACACAATGGCATTTTTTAACCCCAAACTACTGATTATCGTACCTGTGGAAGCTAGCTACAATGAAGAGCCAGGGTGTCCAGCGGCATGGTTGCTCAAAAAAATAGGACAATAGGAATTTCAGGATTTAGAAAATAGGGAAAATAGCAAACCTTGTATAAAAAATAAGAGAAAAATAGGAAAATCAATAGTACTTTCGTTGAGAAGATAGCCTCCCCACACCCCAGCTGCTATCCTGATTCACCACTTTAGTCGATTAACAGCAGTGAACATAAATAGGACAAAATGAGTTTTTTGGTTTGAATTTTTATTCTTCTTGATATCCCTCACTGAGATAAATCTATCAACGAATCTGTACTTACTTTGATTTCCCTAGTTTTTAAGTAACAACTGAACTGTATCACCTTCACTTTGGTTCAGAAACAAAGTTGGCTTTTCATTATGTTCATAACTTCAACATTAATCCAGCAGATGATTGCTAACACAACAAAATTTTTTCTTTACTGACCTGGCAGAGCACCTGCTTAGAGGTGTAAAATGACAGTTTACATTTACTTTGACTTTCTCTTCTTTGATGGTACAGCAGAAACGTCCGCTGGTAGAGCTTTCTCCAGCAACTTCTGATTGTTTGTGTTAACCTCCTTTCGCTTCTCCTTTACTGCTTAAAGCTTCCTCTTTGCCTTTGCCTGATTCGATTTGGCCGTTTCAATCATGAGACATGCAACTTCTGCACCTTGTGAATCAACCTTGGAACCTGAAGATAGGGGAGCCTGCAACTTACTTGTGCCCTCTGACAGAAGCTCATCAGCCGTTTGCATTTCATCCATTGCCTCCTGCTCCTTTTTGTCTAGCATCTCTCCTTTATCTCTCAAGGATCTTGTCTCTTTTCTTAACTTCTCCTGGTCTCTTTACCTTCGTTTTCCCTCTTCAGCTTTCAATTTCTGATCCACCTCTTCTCGGCTTCTTCTTCATCCAGCCGCTGCCTATGATGCATGTGCGCAGATCGCACAGCAGTTAGAAGACCATTTGTCAGGGCAATTTTTTCCGGTCTCAGGTTTTCAGAATCATAAAACTTCACAGCATCTTTCACAGATCTAAGGAATCTACTCATAAGCTTGCGCAAGAACTCTGACATTTTATCGTACAAAAGGTCAACCTCTGGGCAGCTGTTCTAAAAAATGGTGAGGAAATCTTCAAAAACAGGTGAAACATTACCCATAAATTCCAGCTGCGCCTTTGTTTTCTTTCCTTTTTCGTCAGTTAACATCGCCGATACCCTCTTGTAAGCAACACTCTTAGGGGCTGTTTTGGGATCCTTTCCAAGATCCTTCATAAAGCTGCAGATGCAATCCCACTGCTCCAAAATTCTTTGCACAGAAGGACCTAAACTAAGCCATCTCACCTCCGTATGTTTTTGGAAATCTCCACACCTAATTAAGATTGTAAAGAGTGATAGTCTTCTCGTCTCGCTGCACTGTACTTGAAAAGGGAGTGAATGTCCACACAAAGCTGTTCAATGTCTTTCCCATATTCCTCTAAACCCTTGGCAAAAGCATTATGGACGTTATGAAGAACACAACTTTCTAAGTCAATAAAACCACTAAAATCTGGGTTGTCATTTTTGATCGCTCCTTCCAGCTTTTTAACAATGGTTTTATTGACATTAGGGTCATCTGTTAACATAGTGCATAGCTTCGTTATTGGAAGGTCATCTTTCAACATTGTCTGGAAGATACGGTTAGCCACCTTCTCACCCTCTGCATGACCCAAAAATAAAGAGGTATAGAAGTTTATCCAGACTTCACTATGACGTAGGGACCAGTAAGGAAAGGTAAGATCCATCTGCCTCTTGACCTGCATGGTGGAGGTTTCGTCTAAGTGTAAACAAAAAGGCAATTCTGACTTCTTTACATCATCAACAATTACCTGGTGATAGAAACACAAAAATCATCTACTCCTTTACGACACCAGAAACTCAATCTTTGACCATTGGAATCGACGGCAGAAAGCCATGCATTCCTAAACTTCGTTCCACCACCAGGCATTTTTTAAACACAGTACATCATCATCTGGTTAATGTAGAGCACTTCGAATTCCTAAAGTTTATAACAGAAACTTTGTAAGACTAAAGTGGTAGCAAAGTACAAACCTAAAGCCCGGGCCAAACAGTCACAATAGTTAATGATATCTTGGAGTATCATTTTCCCCCAAAGGTCATCAACTGCTATCAACTATCATCATTTTTGGGCCCCGGTTGAACACTCTAACTTAATAAATACTTGATACTTAGTTTCCCAGAATACTGACTAGAACCAAAAAGTTTAAATAAAGAATATTTGCAGGAGAGGCAAATGCAAGCATTTTGAGCCTTACACCCTCGGCCATCTCTCTGCAGAAAGAAGAAAAGCATATGATTATTAAGGGACCACCTGGTAATACATGTAGCAGAAGAAATTTGTATTTATAGAATATTTAGAGACACTTACGATTTATAAATGAACAACAACTTGATTACATGTCCAGTTTTCAGTTTCAGTTTCAAAGATGAACATAAAAGCTGGCAAGACTCCAAAATACAACATGTACAGATACTGAAATGCATGTTCAGTGGAACAATATACACAATTTGTTATTTAATAGTCATGAGAACTATAACACTACATACAATACATGTAGGTGCACTAGAAAATTATACAAAAACAGACAATATAACAAAGTTCTTAACAGAACTCTAATAGGTAATAGAGGTCATAGAAAGAACAAATGTGGCTATTACTTTTGCTAATATTAGAACATCAAAGTCGACATACTACTTGCTTTATGATAAATCTCACTCTAAAACACATACAACTATAATTGCATTTTCAATTTTATTACAAATTTTGGCTTCACGAGCTAAAAAATAGGAATAGGAAAAATAGGAGGTTCTGGTTTAAAAATAGGCGAAAATAGGAATGGGCTCAAAAAAGAGGAATAAAATAGGAACTGGACACCCTGAAGAGCTCTTAGTGGGTCTCCTCTAACATTCTGTTAAGGGTTGGTAGCCAGTACATTTCATTAGTCCTTCACTACCTGATGTTGAGAAACGGTACAGTCAGACAGAAAAGGATGCGTTGAGTGTTAAATGGGCCAAAGATCCTTTCAGTATGTTCCTTCAGGGTGCTCCAAGGTTTACAATCGTGACAGCACACAAGCCACTATTGTCAATGTTCGGCAAACCGACAGTAAAGCCTCCCTCCGACCTTTTGTTCACTTCTAAACAGATCTTTTTTTGCTGGCGAAGTGCCATACGCCTGGAAGATAGCTACCATTGTTCCCATTTATAACTTCGCCCGTGAAAATTAGGGCACCCATTAGGCTTTGCGAGCTCCAACAAGGTTTCAAAGACTACCGCCATCTTTCAGTGCCGTCAGAACTCTGAGCGGCGAATTTGAAATTTTTCTGTCTCACACCTTTGAGCAGACAATAGCTGTGGTCACACTACAGACTTTTACCTAGGTAAAAGCGATTTACCTAGGGCAAATTCATCAAAAATCTGCCTAGGTAAATTCATCTCGGGTTTTGTTTTACCTAGGTAAAAATTCTGGGAAGGTCACACTACTGATATCGGCTCCCAAAGTTTTCACGCCTGTTGAATTTTTTGGAGGGTAAATTCAAGAGGGCAAAATGCGCAGGGATCTAGCTGATCAAATTTTTATCTCGCTGTTATTTCTTACGCTAATTGAACGTGCAAGGTGAAGAAAGGCGAAGACGTAGACGACTCGTACTCCCAAAATTTCTTTCACAGCGTGATCTATGTCCGGTTCTGTCATCAAGACCTTCGCCGATGAGCGTCTATTGGCTAGCAACCTCGGTATTTCATTTTTCCCTAGCTATTGCTTTGGGGTAGCTGTCAAGGGAAACTCTATTGTTTTCGAGACATATCCAAGACCCAGACGATAAAATTTCCCCGAGGTAAGTTACCTAGGGAAAAATCAGTCACACTTAAAAAATCAAGTTTCCCTAGGTAAACTGTCAACAAGTCGTGTTTACCTAGGTAAAAAGTCTGTAGTGTGACCACAGCTAATACAGATACAATAGAAGGATTAACAATTGTTTTGAAGTGTCTAAATGCAGGTTTCATCGGTAAAGGCTTCAGAGCGTGAAGTACTAAATATGCAAAATGAAGCAAATTCCGTCATGACTGAAACACTACAAACAATCGAAGTGTTGTCGGTCTCGTGGAACCAACTGCTAGCGGCTTGTGATTTGAAAAACTTCACGTGCTTTAATTTTTTAATCTTTCGGAAAAGCAGTTTTGTTCTGTCGCCCTGTGGACAGATTGATCAAATCGGTCGATCAACGACAAAGCGCGTGGTTACTGCACGGACTGCAGAATTATCTTTCATTGTGTTGCTGAGGAAGTTCATCAAACATCTGTATTTCATGCACGGTGAGTAGGCTTTTTGTTGTTACACGTCCCTCTATTAATTTGTCAACATTAATCAAAATACAATCGAAGATGCTTTCCGTGGAAAGAGGTCACGAATGTCAGTCATGAAACCAGCAATGTCCATATGGTCTTTATGTAAACAAAACTCGATCGCCACATTACTGTGTACCTAGTAAACTACAGATGATAAAATGCTTGCTTGCCTGGCACGTCTATCATGTTCTTGAAATGTTCTTTTATGCTATGAATACGTAGATTACACATTATCCACACTGTTCCCCTAACATTCTCTGTGGTAGTCGTTAGGAGAATTTGTTCAACAATCAATTCACAGCGGCTTTGTTTAAAGGTGTAAAAAAGTGCATTTCCAACCACTTCTTTTCTGTTTTCCTTAAATGGCACTTCTACACCAGTGAGTGACATTTACCCTACACATTGCCCATCTTGGAGCAGTCAACATGCCATTTTTTTTTTGTAACATTATGGTATTTTGGTCTTATTTTCAGAGATAAAAGCTTAAATTATGGACACGTCAACATTTGGTTGGCCCAATTCTGTACCAGTAAAAAGAGTGGGATCAAAATTATATGTGGAGGCATATATATGTGAAACACTTAGTCCTTACGGTTATTTTAATGCAAAACAGTGCAAAAAGGAGCGTATAAACAATTAGAGGATTTTTTAAAACAGTTTGGCCTAAAAAATAGTGATATTTACTTGGATAAGAACTCCAGGAGTTTTATTTCAGCTGAAGCATATATTTTAACCGTTATTGCTGGTAGCAAGCTGAGAGGTGAAACCATTAACAGTTGTCTTCAATGTCCATGGGGCCAGCTATGTATGTCCTTTGCCGAGACTGTAGTGAGTACTACTTTTGCTAGAGATATTGCTGGTGGAAGTGCCTCAAGAACTTTAAATACGGCTGCTAGCAGCACACCAAGCTTAACACAGATAACAGTGGTAGGAACTGGCCGCACCCAAGACACTAGCACAACTGCGCCTGATGCAAAGGTGTACAAAGGTTATGTTAATCCGCATGAAGCAACGTCTGTTTTGCCCACACGACTGGAAGAAGGAACAGTATCCAGACCTTCTCAACTAGAGGAGAGAGTGAAAAAGCAAAGGAAAATATTGATTGAATTGGCTCAAGATATCCATCATGGATCCAAGGTGAGCAAGTTAATTTGTTCTATTGCTGCTAGTTTCAATTCCATGTTACCTCTTTAAGTTATAAATTTAACCATTTTGTATTTTTTGCTTACATCAATCTCCTTAACTGATTTTATGTAGAACACAGCTTTGTCAGTGGGTTCAAAATGCCATGTCTGTAAGTTCCTTGTTTCTTTGTTTCACTCAAATTATTATGATAAAAGAAATATTATTCTGACCATTCAAAGTTGAAAGAGGTCAGTTAATACATTTAGTTACATTACCTAGGAATATTTGGACTTAGGAACTGTTAATAGATGTATATCAGACCCTTTTTTCTTGGAAGTTATCTTGAAACTTTTGTTACTTATATTAGTGACATGGTCTTTGGTTAACCGAGACCACTTAGTGAAGGTTAAACTAATGACACGTATCAAGTGAAGTATTTATTATTAGCAGAGAAAGAGTGAAATGGTAATATTGAAAATACTTCCTGGTCTTGTGTAAGATCGAGGGTTCCCCAAAGTATGATCCTGGGCCAAATGTTATTTCTAATTTACGTCAATGACATATCATCTAAAGTCTCTTCGACATTAAGGATGTTTGTGGACGACACCAAAGTATACAGAGAACTGTTAAACATAGCAAGAGACCGTAAAGCCCTACAATTTGATGTTGATCAGTTACTATCCTGCACTGGCAACTATGCTTCAATCCCACACGGTGAAATTTTACGTATAACGGACAAACGAGACCTCTCCCTCCCTACATACTCATTGGGTACAAGCCTTAAAAGCGTAAAGTGCATCAAGGATTTGGGCATTATGATTTCGTCGGATTTATCCTACAGCAAACATGTTAACATGACCGTCAATAAGGCTAACAAATTATTGGGTTTGGTTCACAGAACAGTGGGCTCGTCGGATCCCGGTGGATTCTCTATGTGGTGCAATTCCCTCTTGTGCCCGGTTCTTGAATATGCTGCTCTAGCCTGGAATCCATATTTGGCTAACGATGTGCTAGCGTTAGAAAGAGTTCAGTGAAGAGCCTTTCGGCTTGCTCTCGGGCAACAACGTGGTGAGATGGAAGAGGAAGATCGTTTAAGGAAGCTGAAGTGGCCTCCACTCGAAACACATAGATTGTTTTTTTCTTTAGTTGAATGCTATAAGATCGTTTTTGGCACAAACAAACTAAACTTTGACGATCTTTTTCAATTTACCAAGTGCAACTCAACCTGCGCTAACCATCCGTGCAAGGTATATGTCAATCCAGCAAAGTGAAATCCACTTCCTATCTGAATCATACGGGACTGGAATAGTCTACCAAGATCTATTGTTGAGGCTGGGAGCCTAAGCCATTTTATAACCAAATTCACTGTATCACCCTGCGCGTTTTGCAAACTTCTAAGAAATTTTGGATTTTTCTGTTCCGTCATTCATCTTAGCGGACCTCTTAGGAAATGCATGTTTACTTGTGATTGGTGCAATTTCGATCCACATTGTTTCTGTGTTTCAAGGTTCGCTCCTTGTAATGACCCTGTTTCACACTGTTTTGGGCCATGATCGACTAGTTTTCTTCGAAGGTTTTTACGATCCTTCATATTCTTGTCTCTTGCAAGAATAAAGCAATGTCTGCCAAATCCCCTCAACAAAAATTCCATTCATCATTGTCATTTCGTTCGCTATTCTTGAGCAGATTAGGGTCATTCTCAATTTTGTTTTTGCGGGCCAAACTGGGCGACTGCATTGCATTGTGATTTGCATTAACGCCACCCCCACTCAAATGATTGACAGAACAGAAAAACCCATTTGAAGTTTGGAAACACACAGTGCGACACAAATTTGGCTATAGAGTGTGCTGAAGCGCTTCCTACATATCCATTAGTTGTTTGTCTTGTTCATCTACAATGTATTGTTATTATTGATCTTTCGTGATCCAATTTATTTCTTGTAAATAGTTTTTAAATTTTTATTTATTTATTTATTCCTCCAATCCCTAGCTGATACATAGTTATGTAAATATAACTGAAAAAAATAATATAGTAACAGATAAAGATTTACAAAGGAAGAAAAAACGCGTAAAATAGAAATTACAACAGTTAAATTGAATTACATTGTATATTGGAAGGAGAGGAGAGGGGTACATCTAGAAAAACTAATATTGTGCCCCTTAAAGTTGTGTACAACAAATGACTTAAGGTTATTAATAAAAAAGTAAAGGAAAAATGACAAATAGCTCAGAAAGTTATAAAAGGGATATTGATTCATTGGTATTGAGCCAGGTACCAGCGTAAAAGTGCTTTTTTAAACATTTTTTTAGATGGTTAGTCTCTAATGGATTGCGGAATATCGTTCTAAAAGAAACGTCCCATAATTCTGGGGCAAAATCTCCTATGATTAGTTCGAAATGAAGGTATTGCAACTTGATTGGATGATGCACTGTGGGTACTGTAATTATGTAGTACAGATACTAATGAAACAGGTATATTAGGAAACTTTTGCTTCCCTCTTTTTGAAGACATTGTTTGTTACTTGTTTGATTAGTTTGTAAAAGAAAAGGTAAGATTTACGTGAGAAATTATGTCAAGTTGGCAGAGCCAACAAAAAACGCGACCATCATGCTCGCTGATGGCTGACCAATAAATGAAAGTCTCTTGCCCCCGTTGACAACAATACCCGAGAAAGAAAACAACGGGAGCAAGAGACCGTCTCCCACCCCGAGTGTGAGTAATTTGAGTCTCAGGCCGTGTCGCTATCTTTCAATCGTAACGCGGAGTTCGAGCCAAGATTCAGTCGATGGCTTTGGACGTGAAAGGTTGAAGAGATTTGCGAACTTTGATTCGCTCTCGGTGCAAAGGCGTCTTGAAGCAAGATAACGGATGGAAAAGAGAACTATCATGTGTTACCTAGCCGGAATTTGAAGGCGAATTTACAGCCGTTTTCCTTCAGTGGATCAGTCGAGCCGCTTCGCTGGAGTGCCCAACCTAGGGAAACCTTTACATAGAGAGAAAACCGGTTAAAATAAAAACCCATAAATTGGCCATAAATCGGCCCGTGGACCACACAGGAGAGTTGTAGCATAAATTTTAAGTAAGGTAAGCTGTTTTTTTAATGAAATCCTTTCATTTTCGTAGGTTACAGAAACGATAGGTTTTTTTCCCCATACAAATCCTTATATTTCGAATGTTATGCAACAATGCTGATGTTCACCGATACTCATATTTCGAGCTTGGGCAATGTAGGGAGAACAATATGGAGACTCCAGAAACTGATATTAGGGTTTAAAGGCGCATCGTCATCAGTTGTCTCTTGTGTAAAGATACTTTGAATGCAGTTTGTAGGGAATTATATCCTTGCTATTAATACTAATTACATTCAAATGATACTGCACATGAATACATCAATGTGTGTACGGGGGGGAATACCAGTCATATATCTTTGAACACTGGGATTTTATTTTACAATATCCATAACAGGGCTGCTCTCATCATGCACTGCCAAGCACTGATAAAACAGCATCAGAAGCTTGCAGCAGTTGTTTTACCACAGTACCAGGCTGTGTTAAAAAAGCTGGAGGAGGACCAGGAGTTCATGGAAGGTGTAATGATATTAGCACAGAAAGAAAGAGTTCGAGTGGAATTGAAACGGTTCGAGGATATATGCAGGGGGGAAATGCCATTTCTTTGGAAAACCTGTGGGTCCTTTTCACAAGAACTGTGTGGACAGGGGATTTTGTCCTTCAGGACGAGCTGGTGCACTTTCCTTTCGCAAAAAAACACTCTAAATGATTCATTTTCGTTCCCTTTAGTTTTCCATAAATTATTTTCCGCCAGTTTGAAATCTTCATCTGACAGGTGCGTTCTTTCTTTGCCTTTCCCATGATACCTAGCGCAGAACCAAAATCCCACTTGCTCTTGAATCCACTAGAACGTAACCTGAGTACGAAGCGGACTGTGCATTGAACAGTACATTATCACTCATAAATTTAAGACCCGTTCTTTAACTTTAAAGCACTTATCTGCAGCTATCTTGGGGGTAACCCTAGGGACATACGTGGGCATGGCGCAGGAATTGTCAACTTTGTTTGATACCAGACATAACTAATTGGTAACATCAATGCAATCAATGAGTAATCAATAGGTAATCGATAGGTAATCAGTTGATTAGTCATTGATTATTGCCGATGATCAATGAGTAATCGATGACTAATCGATAGGCCACAAAATTTTTCGTCATCGATTAGTCATTGAACGCCTTGTTTAGTCATTGATTTCATCCATTACTCATCGATATCATCTCGTGTCCGCAAACGTATTTGGCGAAGAAAAATATAATTTGAAAAACTTAAATGTAAACAGATGTTTCCAGGTTTATTCTTTTCAGCTTAAGTAGTACATGGAAATTAAGGCTCAGAAGGTTCTCCAGTATCTGTTTGTCGTTTGTTGTTGAACCATACTTTGACGGTTGCCCTGTAAAGGTTGTTCACTTTTGCAAATTCTTCAATAACTCCGTGCGATTGATACTTGGTGTCTTTGTACAAGGCCTCGAGGGACATTTTCTGCAAATGCGAAAATTTCGTCCTCCTATTTGCAGTTCATGAAGCAGCTTGTTTCCTTTTTCCTGTAAAGCAAAAACAAAATGAATTTAATATGCAAAGCGACGGAGCACTGATGAAAAAACATAAACATTTCCAGGAACGATGTCAGCGCGGTACACAAGGCATATGGACTTTGCAACAGAAATAGTTCTTGCGAATTGATTAAATTACACGTATTCAAAAGAGATTCATGTACCTTGAATCTTTCCTCTCAGATCCCCCATGGGTCTTCTTGCTGTAGCCAGTTCTTTATCCTTTAGTAGGGCTCTCTTCCTTCCTCCGACAATTGTTCAAAGGTCTTAGGTTTGTTGAGAATTTCGGATCTTCTACCCTGGGATCTTTCCAACACGTGGGCAAAAAACTGTGCGATGGGGATTTTGTTCAGTCGCAAAAGGCGCAGTGCTTCTTGGCTAAGTTCTGCTGTATCTAAAGCAGGACCAGGCAATGCGCTTAAATTGTTCTGCCCACCGTTTGGTGAATCTGTTAGGAAATAGGAGAATGAAAATACATAGTGATTGCACTGAAATGCATGCACAAATCATTTTCCTGGATTTACTGAGATTCACAATATTTCAATTTGAGTATTGCGGGTTTCTTACCGGTGTTTTGACTGTTTCGCCCTTGAACTGAAATGTCAGAAATGATTTTTTCCTCCATGCTGTACAAGGAATTCTTCGAGCTTCGGCATCTTATATGTTGGAAGACAGATTTGTAACTGAATTTCAACGAAAATATATTAGTGAAAAAACCAAAAGCTTTCAATGTTTAGTCGTCTCAAATCACAGGCACAGTGAATAAAGAGAACCGAACACTTAATTGAACTCACAGGTAATGTTTATTTAATTATACAAAAATACCCTCACCGGCAGGTTGTCCTCCACAGCCTCACTAACGTCTACCATGGTGTCTAAAGACTCTTCTAGTAAACTTTTGTGAAAATCTGAGGTGTTCAAATGACTCTTCATTATCAAACAATGGGTCATTTAACTCAAGCTTTTCCATCATTGATTGCCTCTTCGGTACTTTTGGAGTTGTGCAAAAATTAAGAAGAGATATCCTGGTAATATGTCTGCAAAAATACAATTTTCAGCTGCATTGAAGGGGCAGCATGAGGCATCCCTACCTAACTGCATTGGCGACAAGCTCAAATGTGAAAGGGAACTGGAGTACGTGTACGATAAATGCACTATCGTCGCCAAAGATCCTCAGGAACGTATCGGAAGCAGAGTTCCGCTTCATTTCTCTGAGTTGTTCGTTAAAGTCATGGAGTCATGCAATGCAAGCTTAACATGGTGAGTTTGCAAAATTTAAGTTCAGAGAATTCCTTTACGCCGGGTCCTTTGCCTAAGGTTTACCATGTTTTTAGTTTTCAGCAATGTAACAGAACTAAACAATTCTATAACTTTCTTCCAGCATCATCACTTCACCAAGTGAGCCCAGCAGACCACCGTATGGCAACCCTTACGAGAAAAAATCAATTCAAGCACAGTTGCAGCAACTAATTGCCGGAAGATCGCACAATCTTACCGCGATTATTTTCCCCATCACAGCATTCTGGGTGACCTTGCTGCAACTGTGTTTCAAATACTTGAGGGGCAACCAGTTGCAGCAAAGGGGCTGCAATTTATGTCGTGCTTACCGTAACATGCGTTCTAGTGCTTAAGTTTCCTTTAACACCATTAATCTGTAATGATTAATGATGGAACTTGCCGACTAATGTTTACACCTATAGATGTGTGCGGGGGCCTTGAAATATACTGGTGATGACTTTTCATAGCTGTCTACATTACCAGAGCAACAACGAAACTATACATCAGTCACACTGGGTTTTATTCGTAAATTCTTGGACAAATACAATCGATTTGTGTGCTATATCAGATAAATCCACGCACATAAATTTTGACACGATAGCTTCCACACCAACAACATTGCATGTTTCTTTTTTAAATCGCTTATGGGCTTTAATGTGTGGCAATTTCACTGACATAAAGTTCATATTTTCCATGGAATCTATAATAAGGTTGTTACTCGTTCCCTCAAAAGGGGTTATAAAAGCAACAGCTGAAAATGTTCCACATCTACAGTCTACGCCTGAACAGTTACATGCATGAGTATACTGGGCAAAAAAATCTATTTGACCAAATCTGAAAGTTGCATTTAAATTGTATTTAACTGTGAAAGAATTACGCACCGTAACTCTGTCATATGCTCGAGAAAAATATATTGTTCCATCCCCTTTCTTCAAACGATTCACAAACTTGAGTTCACGAGTAACACTTAAAAGGCTTGTTAATCCTAGAAACGTCTTCAATGCATCCATTTGTATGTCACTCAACTGAAGTGAGTATGGTTTACCTAAACCACGATAACCGTTTCCAAAGTCTAAAAAATTGCTGCTGGAAGATTTAGTACCGACCATTTTTTTCGAAGGAAATTTCCCTCAAGTGTTTTGTCCGAAACTGCCTCAATCATGCATGGCAGTTTCTAAACAATCCGATACTGCATGTAATCTGTAGTTTAACTCGTTGTGTTCCATGGAAGAGTTTCAGCAAATTACCATTCATGTTCTCAAAGGAGAAGCACGAATGACATCATAATGGTCCGAGATTTCGGACTCACTTAGGAAGGTGGAGGAGAGAATGCACATTTAGAGTATTGTATCTGTCTCCATAAATTGTTCCAAACATCTGACAAAAATATTTTAGTAACCTTTCGCTTTGGAGGAGGTCATTTTCTGTCACATTATCTTGACGCATTAACCAGATTGCCTACACCAAACATGCCAAATGTTGAAAACATTCCTCTGTTAAGATGCCAAAAAGGCACGGAAGAGCATAAAAAAGCAACCAGGTATGCAGTTCAGAAGCCTTCCAAAATTGCCTGTCCTCCAGACTCCTAGGAACCCTCGTAATTAAATCGGGAGGTTTGATTTCCAACAGACGTTTATTCACGATATCAATTTCTGAACTCACTGAAAAAATGTTACTTACAAAGGCGGGTGTGAACCACAGCTTAAGTAACAACTTACAGATTCCTTGTAAAACAGTGCATATAATCGATGGTTGTCCCTTGTATAACATCATAATAAGTAAAGTAAGCTAGAACAGACGGTCCTTTTATGGCATAGACAGGCTTGTCACAAGCTACTGCTTGTTTTGCATGTGCTATAGTTCACTCGTGAGTTCTTTCTGGGCCAACAGGTTCTCTTGCAGTAAAGGGGAAAATGTGACAGTGCCCCCCAGACGATGTTTTGCAAGTCTCTCCTGGCTGGAGACATTTAGAACAGCCGTATTTGCCATTAAATTGCATACAGTTACACACCAGTGCTTTCATAGTTGGAAGATGACAAGTACCACACAAAAGGAAGCACTTCGATACTATTCAGGGCGTACCCAATCGATGAAATCGATGATCGATGGGAATCGATGGCATTCGATGACAATCGATGCCAATTAATCGATTGATATTGATAATCGATGAACAATCGATCGTCCAGGTGTGTGTGATTATCGATTGTCATCGATTGGCATCGATTGTCATCGATTGCCGATATCAATCGATTAATTGGCATCGATTGTCATCGATTATCAATATCAATCGATTAATTGGCATCGATTTTTTACCAATTTTCATCTATTGGTTATTATTGTTGATAGGTTTTATTTTCAGTCAAGATTTCCAAAGGCACAGTCTCTTGATGCATTTTAATGACGAAAACAATGACATCGTGGAGGACATTGGCAGAAGATCGAGTTTTTTTTTACAACTTGACAGATAATCAGCTTAACTCTGCTTAACTGAATAAAGTTGTCTTTTTCGCATTTCCCGTCCTTTCCTCTGGTTTGTGCTCGATGAAAGTTACAACAATCTGATTTTATTAAAAAACCAATAAACTTGAACTTTGAACCCCAAACAACTAGCACATAACGTGAAAACACTTACAGTTTACTTACAGAGGCGATTTTTGTGTTGTCGTGGTTTCGGTTGCGATTTTTGGTCATTGTTGTCTCGGTCGCGCTGCAACTCAAATTCTACCTGTTATCACAAGGCGTTGTGACCTTACGGCCTAAAACGAAATCATCTTTTTTGTAAGACGTGTTTACGCATTTACCACGTTTCGTAGACATTCTAGCTAGTGATAAAAATCAACTCGTTGCAGCACGATCGCGAGAAAATACGCAGTGGAAATCGCGACATAAATTGCACCAAAATCGCCTGTGTAAACGGGTCGTATAAATTTTGAACGGGGTGGCCAAAAGTGTCAACTGTTTGCAACTTTGAAGTCCAGTTTACAGGAATTCACTTTCAAACTATAACGATATTAATAGTTTTATAACGCTTTCAAAAAGTACCTCACACCTATCAGTGGCACATTAGTAGCCCTCGGCATAAACAGTAGAACCCATGTCTATTAGACTGCAACTGTCGCCACAAAAGCAGTTTACATTTACTTGCGCAAACATAAAACAGGTCAACAACAACAGCAACAGTGCAAGCAGTACGGAAAACAGACAAGTTAGTTCCTCGAAAATTAAAGTTGCTTGAATTGACATCAGTGTGTTAATGACGTAAAGGTAAATCGCGTTTGCCATGTACGCATTGATCAGATCAATCATAAACAGTAAAAGCAGTAACAGGTGGATCACTCTTTTTTTTTTTTTCATCAAAATAATAGATAAACGTTGAAGGCTGTACAATTTTACGTGCATGACAAAACCGCGAAGAAGTGGAAGAAGAAGAGCAGGTACTCGCTTTTGCAGTGAGAGACTCAGCAGAAGTGTCCAAACTGTGGCTTATAGTGCTTTCGTGACCAGTAGCAACTGTGCTTGTAGCAGAGGCTGTACATGTCATATTGTTTGCTTTTTCCTTGCCGCTATAACTTTCTCGATCAGGACCGTTTTTTTTCAACTTTTTTGTACGGCTCGCCCATTTCGTCAAAAAGTTCGCGCAATAACGTAATGGTCATATCCTTCGGGTTGCCTTGTTTTTTTTTTTTTTCTCTTTCATCCTTTCGTTGCAAATTCTCTTTTTCTTCCTCTCTTCGTCCATTTTCTGCAGTCGTGGCAATTCCTTGAAAATTTCCGTCAAATCAACGATATCGGCCATTCAGGCTGTGAACCACTAACCTTTCCCACTACTTTGAGGATGGAATGAACTTCAGACCAACGAAAGGTGGGAGTAGTTTCCAACTCCCACCCAAGAGAGGCTTTTTTCTCATAGTTTAACACCCTAAAGCAAATGGTAACTTTTTCTTTTTTTTTGGAATCTGATCTCCACTCGAAAACCGGAAAGTTCGATTTTAAGGAGGGTGATCTGACAATCCTGACGATATGTCCAACTTGTAATCCTTCTGATGGAAGCCACAATGCAACGATATCGTTTAGGTAGGTTCCGGTTTCAACTCGTTGAGGGTCGACCAGCTTTTCGATTTTTTCATAAAAATCGTTTCTCGCCGACTCCATC